CTACTCATGGGAGATTCTGCATAAAGGAAGCCACGCTTCCTTGATAAAAAACTGATTTCCTTTAGAATGTGCAGTTCACTAGGTGACAATTTTAATGTGTTTTTAATAATTCAGTTGTGGAAAGAAATACTTTTGTATTATTGTGAGTATTCCCTCTGGTGTGCTTCCTAAAACTTAGACTTGAAATCAGGAGCAAACTCAGGTTAAAGAGAGTAACACTGCCATACCTTTGGTTATAATGTTTTGCTTGTTGCAAGATATGTCTAATTGAAAATATGAAATACACCAAGGTTTGGAAAGGTATTGTAAGCTCCATTTCCTTTTATCTGATTTGGTAAAGGGTAGGATTTGTTTGCTGTCTAGCCACTCAACAGCACTTTGAAAAAAGGAAAAATGAGCATAAGTTAGATTTGTATGCATCTTTCTGTAATGTAAAATGTTAAATTTTAAAAGGACAAACCCCTGAGGAATACATTTGACACTGCTTAGGAGTAAATGGCATTGAATATCATAGGGTGCATCCAGATGAGCATATGCCTGTGGTTTACAGTGCCGCAGACCCATCTGCAGTGCTGCAAACCGCATGCACTACGCATGCAGACATTTGCTGCACTGCTGATTTGCAGCATGGCAGGGTTTTTGACACTGGGAGATCCCAGTGCTCATGCTAAGCTCATGCCAAGCTTTATAAACCAGTATAGTTTTCATTAAAAATATTAAGTGATAATAGAACTGTTGAGCGACTTGTATAAGTGACCTAGTTGTGAACTGTAGACCATATTCCTTTGGAGGCAAATCCTGATTCGCGTATGCTGTTTAAAACACATATTTGAAAAGTCTGCTTTGTTCCTTTGCTCATATCTAGAAAGTTTCTTTTACCTCAGATGAAAAAATGACCTTTCCTGTTGTCTGCTTCTACTGATAAATCAGGTGAATTGCTCAGGTGAGGTTAGTTAATAAACCAGCTAAATTGTTTGGTTTAAAGATGCTTCCTCATGCCAGAGGTGCTGAGCTAGTCTAAATCATCGTAGCGCCATTAACTTCAATAGAGCTGTTATAGTTCATAGATTTATAGATTCATAGATGTTAGGGTCTGAAAGGAACCTCAGTAGATCATCAAGTCTGACCCCCTGCATAGGCAGGAAAGAGGGCTGGGTTCAGATGACCCCAGCCAGATGCCCATCCAACCTCCTCTTGAAGACCCCCAGGGTAGGGGAGAGTACCACTTCCCTTGGGAGCCCATTCCATTTTTGGCTGACACAGGGTAAGTATTTACCTCTTGGCGTTTGTCTATAATTCAGTAAATTAGGGTTATGAAAGGAGTCTTCATTGTAGGTGGTTTTTAAACCATGATATTATCTTACTGAGTTTATTTTCTTTGTAGCTGTATTTTCATGGGAAATTCAGTGGAAGTATTTACCTGACTCCAAGATGGGTTTGAATTTAAGACAACTTCCAATAATTATTCTATTCATGGAAAATTGTATAATTTTGCATGTGTAGAATTTAATTATTGGAGAGTTCTTTAAACCTGGCCTTCCCCCCAGCACACATACACACTGCTGCAGTGGCAGGGGGCTGGTGCTGATGGTGGGTGTCAAGGAGCCTGACCCCTGTCTACTGGCGCCTGGCCCCCCACCTTTCCCCCTGCTGCCTGTCCCTCTCACCACTTCCCTCTCTGGTGCTTGCCCCCTGCTTCAGTCTGCCCCCTACTCTCTGCTTACCCTCTGGCTCCAGGAGGGCTCCAACTCTGGTCCACCCTGGGGCATGGAGCCGGAGAAGATCTAGCTGTTGTTTCACCTCAACCTCTGAATTTAGTAGCATCTTTCTTCTGCTTTTCTCTACAGACCAGGAATCCTATGTTAATGGGGTTATGTATCTACAGTTGATGCACCTATACTTACTCTCTGTATTGTTGCAAATCCCCATTTTAGCCCATTTCACCTTCTGCCTCTGCTGACAGTGCAAGGATGTGTTAGGGTTTACTGCACAATAGACTTGTGGGAAATGCAAGTATTATTTGTTTTCTGTCACAATCCTGGCATGCGGCTTGTGTCAGTAAATAAGAGCATGAGTTTAGAAAGCAGTGCTAGCTTACCTTTGGGGTACTGTGAGAGCAAAAAAAAGTTATATAAATATTGCTCTGTATTGTCAGCAGCCTTGAATATTGCAGTATTTATTGTGCCAGAACCAAACACTATTTATTTTGATTTGTAATCCCAAGAAGTGCAACTGTCTTAAGGCCAAGGTATGTTTGCCACAAGTTTTAAAATAGTCATAAAAAGCTTGAATTGTTCCTTTTAAAACTAGAAAATAAACAGAGATTAAATTCAGCCAAGCAAAAACCGCAAACAGAAGCCTTCGTCATGGTTTTGATGCTCAGAAGCCTCTGGGTGATAGACTCGCAGAATACCATGAAAGTAATTAGATCTGGACTACTGAGGTTCCAATAGGATGCAGTACTAGAAGTTGGCTGACCAGCCATTCATCTTCATTTCCTAAGTTGAGTGAAATGTGAAGTGTTAACAATCAGTGAGAGTGACTGAAACACCTAGTAATCAGGTTGACTTGCAGACTTTTTAATTATCTGGACACTTTGCTCATTCTTCTGGTGTGGATTAGTTTTAAACGAGTGATTTAAATTGCCAAATGGAAAGCCTCAGTGTGGTTTTTCCATTTGGACTTCAGTTTTCTTCTAAAGGAAGATGCATTCTTATTGGTTGATATAACCAGTCCTGCATGTACATTTGCAGCTCAATTAAGCCTTCTGGGTACATCTTTTTGTTATCCATGAGACTGTGTTATAATTGTATTAATTTATTTAAGCAATCTGGTGCACTGTTTTTTGTCATACAAAAACAAAAGCAATTGTCAACTTAATATTTTCAAATTTGTATTAATTTTACATTTTGATATGTTAGGAAATGGGGAATGATATATAGTTTTAACTGACTTGTCAAGCAGCTGCTTTAAGATGCTAACTGGAGTCTGATCCTGCTGAGATATCAAATGGTATCTCTTGGAGTTGAAGGTAGGGGCTACATTTAGCCTTCTGTTTAGCACTGGAGTAATCCACATCTCCACATCTGGAGTACTGTGTCCATTTTTGGGTCCCCCACTACAGCAAGGATGTAGACAAATTAGAGAGAATCCAGCGGACGGCAGCAAGAATGGTGAGGGGGTTGGGGTACATGTCTTATGAGGGAGGGGCTGAGGGAGCTGGGCTTATTTAGTCTGCAGAAGAGAAGACTGAGATTTAATACAGCCTTCAACTACCTGAGTGTTTCCAAAGAGAATGGAGCTGGACTGTTCTCACTGGTGGCAGATGACAGAACAAGGATCAAGGGTCTCAAGTTGCAGCAAGGGAGGTTTAGGCTGGATATTAAGAAAAATGCTCTCACTGGGAGGTTAGTAAAGCACTGGAACAGGTTACAGAGAGAGGTGGTGGAATCTCCATCCTTGGAGGTTTTTAAGACCTGGCTGGACAAAGCCTTATCTGAGATGATTTAGTTGAGGATTGTCCTGCTTTGAGCAGGGGGTTGGACTAAATGACCTCCTGAGATCCCTTCCAACCCTCATTTTCTGTGGTTCGGTGGAGACTTTCAGTCTCTACCAAAGCCTGTGAGTGTTCCCCACAAGATAAAGCCATTCATGCATATAATATACAAGCTAATTGCCCATCAAGAATAACGGGGGCGGGGAGAGGAAGGGGCTGGGATGGAGTGCCGCCACCTAACGCCCCTTGCTGTCACTGTATTTGCAGGGAGCATGGTAGGGGACCTGGCCTCAGCTCCCCCATCGTCTGTCTGGTTCTTGACATGGCTTCGGAATCATGGCAGTGCTCCCCCACGCTTGGAGCACTCTGATTGGCTGTTTTCGTCAGTCAATCAGAGTGCGAATAAAGCGCTACGGACAGACAGACAGACAGACTTATAATTCTAATATTATAAAAGTCTAATATATTAATTAATATTTCTGAAGTGTCTCCTCAAAAGTTGGATGTTTTTCTCTTCGTTATTTTTTTTTTTTTTACGGAGACTCAAACGCCCTTTAACTTTAGAGGATTTTTGGATTCAGAATATATATTTTATGCAAAGATTTATGATGGTGTAGTAAAATTAAGCTTAATAAAATCAATGCAAATTTCTTTTAAATGGGTTTTATTTTTTAAAGTAAAAGTTTTATATATTAATTTTAAATTAAAAAAAAATAAATTAAAAAAAATATTTATCAACCCTACAATTTAGTCAGGTTTCTGGAAACAGCTAGCTGTTCTGCGGCATAGTTCACACATTTGTGTACCTGTTTAAGTTGATTAGGGATGTGATTTCTCAACTGAAATAGTTGTCCTGTTGTTGTTTAGATTTATATCCCACCCTATTTAGAAATGTGCAGTGTGACTTACAATAACTGACAAACAATGAACAAGAAAAAACAACATATGCTTCCCCACAAAAAATAAGTAAATAAATGACACTTGTGTACCTTTCTGCCATGCACTGGATGGCAGTAACGTGGGCATGGAACAAATCCTAACATGGCTATAGTCATAGAAGTCGAAAGGTGCCTTGTACTGGTGTAGCTTATTGTTTCCTGTAGTAATAACTATATGACTATAGTTAAAGTGATAGAATTTTTGTATTGAACAAGACCTGGGTCTACTTCTGGCCTGTCCCAGGTATTGGCTTGCTCCCTGTCAGTAAACATCCTATTTAATTTATCCATTTGTTTGCATACTAGTCATTTGATACTATAATTGTGAAGAGTTTTAATACCCTAATTCTTTTGGTTTTAATAATTGCAGCAGCTCTTGTAGCTTAGATAGCAACTTGTTTGTTGTTTTTTTTTAATGTCTTGATGGGACCACTGTCTTTAATGGTTTATATTTAATGCCTTAATTAAGTAGATCCAGATGGCAATTGAGTTGAAGCTGTAGTTTCTTTCATTCTTTTTTTTGCTTTGAGAATGCAGCAGAGTAACATTTCCTTATTCTTTTTCAGGAGTGGAATGTGAAGATCTGATAGAAGAATTGCTATGTTGTCTCATCCAGCTCATTGTTGAAATTCCTCTTCTGTAAGTACCTGTAAGAATATTTTTTCCAAACTGGGTATTTGTACCTTCCAAACAGAATATCTTCTTCCATCATTCCAAGGTTTGCTGTGTTTGGAAAAATCATTTTATTTGGATACTAGACCATCATGTCTACATTTAATAAATAGTGATATGATGTCTCCTGGACCTGACCCTAGATATTTGTTAGCAGAATATTTTGCAGTTCAGCTACTTTCCCACTTCAGTCCGTTTGTTCTGGCCCTTCCCATTTTATGTAATAGTTTCATTTTGAGCCAGTACAGTGCTGCTGGGGATATATGGAGAGCACACACTTTGAAAAGTTGAGGCTGGCACTCTCTTAGTTGGGGATATCATAATTATTATGGTTTGAGTAAGTAAGAGGCATGGCTATTCCCACATTGGTAAAACTGTCATCACTTCAGGTGATGTGAAACTTTCAAAGTGCCAATATAGTGATTGTCTTTGCTCACAGACCAGGGATGGAAGATGATCTGAGAAAAGATTCCTGGTCTCCCTTGCACTTATACCTGGTGCTGGTTTTTTAAAACTCAAATCATGTTGCTCTTCCTAGTTTGAACTACAGTGGAACTGATTTTTCAGAATTCAAGGGCTTGGGCAGACTGCTTCTCTAGATCTCTAGACACCAAACTGACTATTAAAATATAGAAGTCCTAAAAGAGTTTCTGTTGTTATCTGGCTTTTATTAGGTTATCTGTTGCAGTGTAATTTTTAGTTCTGTTGCTGACCTAATTTTTTACATTGCTGATTTCTCTCTTACATTGCTGATTGCTCTTTTGGTTGGAAAGCTGACAAATGCATTCACTGCCGAGATGAAGATACAATTCTTTCTGAAATATTAATCTAATTAACTGTAATCCTGTCAATAATATACTAGTGTTTTGAGTCATTACTGTATAATGAAATAGTGGTATGATTTAGTGTCAGCCTGCAAAACAAAGGTTTAGGTTGTAGCCGTGTTGGTCTAAGGATATAGGCAGACAAGGTTTCTTGGGTGAATTTGATATCTCTCCCCACACACGCTTACCAAAACTGAAAAATCTGTCCTTTCTAAAGGCCTAAATTTCTGTCCAGAAAAACACCCTAATAAAATACTTCAATGTGGAGAACTAGAAGAATTCTTCCGACGCCTGCGCCTCAAAGAATATTTCCACGACCAAACTGAACCCACTCCCAACAACAACTCATCCTCTGACAACATTCAAGAAAAGATCAATGCCAAAAAACCCCAAAAAACATCAGATTGGACACCTCGCAGTGGACGAAACCCTAACCTTGACCGCTACATTGACTACTTCAGGGAAAGAATGAACAATGAAATAATCAGCAACACATGCCACCACAACAACCTCTCTCTACCAGAGAAAAAGGCCATAGAATCTCTAAGATCTAACCACCAAATAGAAAAAAAACCAGCAGATAAAGGAGGAGCCGTAGTCATCCTAAACTGTGAGGATTACATAAAGGAAGCCAACAGACAGCTCTCTGACACCACCTACTACAAAGAACTACAAGAAGATCCTACTCCCCTTTTCACCAAAAAACTCAACAATACCATCAAATCATTTCCACCAAGATTACAAGAAAAACTACAGACCTTGATCCCCCCGCTACCTAACCCAGGGACTTTTTACATGCTCCCTAAAATCCACAAACAAGGGAACCCTGGCAGACCTATCATATCCAACCATGGGACCCTAACTGAGGAAATATCAGGTTTTGTTGAATCCATCCTAAAACCGCTTGTCACCCACAGAGCAAGTTTTGTCCAAGACACCACAGACTTGCTACGGAAACTTAAAAACATAGCCCACCTTCCCAGCAACACGCTCCTAGCCACCATGGACATTACCAGTCTATACACCAACATCCCACACCAGGATGGCATCCATGCCTGCCTTACATATCTACAGGAACAAGATTACAACCCAGAATACAGACCCAAAGATATCACTGAGCTTATACACTTCATCCTCACACACAACAATTTCACTTTTAATAATCAACACTTCCTCCAGATGATGGGAACAGCTATGGGCACTAAAATGGCCCCACAGTATGCCAACCTTTTTATGAGCCACCTGGAAGAAGACTTCCTCAAGAACTGCACCATCAAACCCTTGCTGTACTTACGATATATCGATGACATCTTCATCATTTGGAGTGAGAACCTGCAATCTCGGATTGAGTTCCACCAGAAATTCAACAGTCACCATCCCTCCATCCGACTTTCTTTAGAATACTCCAACACCAACATCCCCTTTTTAGACACAAGGATCAGTATCCAGAAGGGTAAAATACAGACCACAGTATACAAGAAACCCACAGACCAACATACATATCTGCACAGAACCAGCAATCACCCGAAACACACCAAAAAAGCAGTGATATACAGCCAAGCCCTCAGATACCACCGCATCTGTACTGAAGAGAACACCCGGGATTGCCACCTCACCAATCTTAAAAAGGCTTTCACCCAGCAAGGACACTCCTCCAGAGAGGTAGATCGCACGTTTGAAAGAGCCACCTGGATACCACGTGAAGAACTGCTGCAGTACAGAAGAAAAACACCCACAAATCGCACACCGCTGGTTATGACCTATCACCCATCCCTTGAACCTGTACGGAAAATCCTCAAAAAATTGCAACCCATATTAGAAAAAGACCCTATTCTTAAAAAGATCTTCCCAGAGCCACCCATCCTAGCCTTCAGACAAGCACCGAACCTCGCCAACCTCATCACCAGAAGCAAACTTCCTCAACCCCAGAACACACCAAAAGGATCCAGACCGTGCCATGACAAGAAATGCAAAACCTGCCCCCACATCTCCACCACCCCCACTATTACTACACCCCACAACAGAGCCATCAGCATCCCAGGATCTTACAGCTGCACCTCCAGGAATGTAGTATACCTCATCCAATGCACCAAATGCCCTGATGGAAGATATGTAGGAGAGACCAGACAACAACTGCGCACCAGAATGAATGCACACCGGAAATCCATCAAAGACAGAAACACCCAATTACCGGTGGGGGCACATTTCTCACAGGAGGGCCACTCTCTCTCCAATCTCTCAGTCCTGATCCTCAAGGGAAACTTACACAACACTCCCCAGAGACGAGCCTATGAGCTCCATTTCATCAACCTGCTGGATACTAGAGATCAGGGACTAAACATAGACATTGGATTTTTGATACATTATAATCTGCCTGGCAACTGACTCCCCAGCCCAGCCCAGCCCCTGGCTTCTTTACTTTTCATTCCATCCAGGAAGAGCACACACCAACTGCTGCAGCTTCCTGAGCCTGACGAAGGGTTTTTGAACCCGAAAGCTTGCTTAATAACTATTCTCCAACCATTTGGGTTGGTCTAATAAAAGATATCAAATTCACCCAAGGAACCTTGTCTGAAAAATTCCAGAAGGGTAAAATACAGACCACAGTATACAAGAAACCCACAGACCAACATACATATCTGCACAGAACCAGCAATCACCCGAAACACACCAAAAAAGCAGTGATATACAGCCAAGCCCTCAGATACCACCGCATCTGTACTGAAGAGATCACCCGGGCTTGCCACCTCACCAATCTTAAAAAGGCTTTCACCCAGCAAGGACACTCCTCCAGAGAGGTAGATCGCACGTTTGAAAGAGCCACCTGGATACCACGTGAAGAACTGCTGCAGTACAGAAGAAAAACACCCACAAATCGCACACCGCTGGTTATGACCTATCACCCATCCCTTGAACCTGTACGGAAAATCCTCCAAAAATTGCAACCCATATTAGAAAAAGACCCTATTCTTAAAAAGATCTTCCCAGAGCCACCCATCCTAGCCTTCAGACAAGCACCGAACCTCGCCAACCTCATCACCAGAAGCAAACTTCCTCAAGCCCAGAACACACCAAAAGGATCCAGACCGTGCCATGACAAGAAATGCAAAACCTGCCCCCACATCTCCACCACCCCCACTATTACTACACCCCACAACAGAGCCATCAGCATCCCAGGATCTTACAGCTGCACCTCCAGGAATGTAGTATACCTCATCCAATGCACCAAATGCCCTGATGGAAGATATGTAGGAGAGACCAAACAACAACTGCGCACCAGAATGAACGCACACCGGAAATCCATCAAAGACAGAAACACCCAATTACCGGTGGGGGCACATTTCTCACAGGAGGGCCACTCTCTCTCCCATCTCTCAGTCCTGATCCTCAAGGGAAACTTACACAACACATCCCAGAGACGAGCCTATGAGCTCCATTTCATCAACCTGCTGGATACTAGAGATCAGGGACTAAACATAGACATTGGATTTTTGATACATTATAATCTGCCTGCCAACTGACTCCCCAGCCCAGCCCAGCCCCTGGCTTCTTTACTTTTCATCCCATCCAGGAAGAGCACACACCAACTGCTGCAGCTTCCTGAGCCTGACGAAGGGTTTTTGAACCCGAGAGCTTGCTTAATAACTATTCTCCAACTATTTGGGTTGGTCTAATAAAAGATATCAAATTCACCCAAGGAACCTTGTCTGCAAAACAAAGGGGCATTGTCAGTACTTCCTGGCATAGTTTTACACTTCTTGTTTGGAATAGATTAAAGGAACTACTCGGTGAAGAAATATAGCCACATTCAGAAATCCTGTAACTTTCTTAGATGGCAGAATGGTTGTTTGAAGTTCAGTGTCAGATACTATATTTTCTTTCATGCAGTGCACCTTGGATATAATGTGCACCTTTGTTTTTGAACAGTAGATTGAAAGAGAAAAAAGAGATTTCCAGAGTTATGGCTGCATAGAGCAGGCATATAGCCTCCTCTTCAGCTGACTCGCTCTCTCTTTCTTGCTTAACTAAGGGTGAAATAGTAGGAGCGAGACCAGGGGCAGCTAGCAGACAGAAAAATTTTAAAAAGGAGAGACATAACACCTAGAGGAACACCTAGAAGAACAGTATGTTGATTGACTCCCT